AAAATTAGGTCATTGAAAAATATATGAAGTACAAAGAAAGAATATTATTAAATATGTGATACATTTTCAAATGGAGTAAATGGTAACATTATATTCAAGTTATTTGAAATTTTGAAATAAAGCTGTTATTTTATAAATTAAGTAAAAAGTAATTTAATCACTTAAATTCATCTAGCCTCTTCCATGACGTCTGTTAACTAATCATTTATTTCACTTAAGACCTTAGTCTCTCTGAGTCATCTAAGGCCATGAGGAATCATATTAAAGTGAACAAAATTAGGTCTTAAAAAAAAAGTTTGCAGAAAGAGGAAACTCATTTAATATGTGATAAATTATGAGACAGAGAAAATGGTAAGATTATATTCAAATTATTTGTAATTTTAAAATGAAGCTGTAAAGATCCCAGTACACACAAGGGAATTAAAGGGAGGGGATCCCAGGTTGATTCAAATGAAAGAAAGTTCAGTACACGTGGATGTTAATTTCTAAGTGAGGACAGGAGAGCCAGGAGAAAACGTTCCCTGTTCTTTGACTGTGGCTTGTATCCTAACCCTGTGTAAAGTACTTAAAAACCAATGAAGAGTTTAATGGTCATTTTTCACAATTTAAAATTTTTATGAACTATAAAAAATTTTTTGAACCAGAGCTAAGCAAATGAAAGTAAATGAAAACTACCTAAAATGTTTTAAATGGGATGCCTATACATTTCACCTTTGATTCTGATGTACAAGAGTTTTTCAAAAAGTTCATGGAAAGATTCACATTATCTTTTAATTCCATTTTTTTAGAAACTTTTTGAAGTATCCTTGCATATGAAGTTAAACCGTTTTTATAAAATTGCAAATGCAATCATACTGAATAGTCTGTTTATATTTATAAGGAAAGCTTTGGTGTATAATATACATCAGCGGAATCACTGCTGCTCACAAATGATGGAAAAATCTCTAAAACAAGCTTGTGAAATTAATATGTTAGACCTAATCCAATATAAAGCAATGGCAATTTAATCCTGTCTTTATATTAAGGAACAATATACTGTTGGAATTAAGGATTTAGAAAGGTTACTATGAGTTGGAGATACATCACCAATAAAAATCTCATTCTCTGCTATAATTAACTCAGAATGTGATTAGGTTACAGAGGTGGGACAGGGTATGACTAGGGAGGGACAGGGTGTGACTAGGGAGGGACAGGGTGTGAGTAGGGAGGGGGGAGGGAATCTGGCCAATAAAAGGCCTGTGCACGTGTCTTTCCCACAGACCTGAGCTACTGGTGGATGCAGCTGGAGGATAGAGAGGTTCCAGCACAGAAGAGGTGAGTCCACTCTGTCTTTTCTGTTTTTCCTTCTCAGATGTCTAGAAATGGCAGCTGTGACATAGAGGGATGAGAGGAATTTAGTAATTGATTCAACAAATGCTGTTGAGTGCTGGCGCAGTGTTTGAAAATCACACACTGGATCCCCCCACTCTAGGAGTGGCAGGCTGTAAACTTGACACTGAGCTCCAAGGCTGCAGAAAGGATGCATTTCCTATGTTCATAAAGCAATTTATTGCTTGGGTTACTCTAGGAGATGGTGAAATGCCACCATTTTCACTGATTCTCACACCGATGTTGCCATGGAACGTGTCCAGGCACATCTGTTGACACAGCTGGAGGGTCCCCATGAGCATTGATCCACCCTCCACCTCAGTTCAAAGCACAATGACAATATGTGATTTTTTTTCCAAATAGAACTTAAAATCTCTGAAGACAGGGAGCACGGGATTTAGTATGTGCAGTCTCATGGTCTTATCCTAGGGATGACAGAATTGCAACACGATAAGTCTGTGCATGTAAAGGTTGTCACTTGTCAAGGTTGTCACTTGTCACAACTAATAGTCTTTCAAATCATGAAAATTTACTTCCATGTGCATTTTCTCCCTGGCAGTGGACGTGAGCGAACCCTTAACTGCAGTAAGCAGATGTCCTATCTGCTCAGCCTACCTTGAAAAGCCAGTGCACCTGAAGTGTGAATGCAGCATCTGCCTCGACTGCATCAATGCACTGCAGAAGGTGCCCCGTGTGGAGGGTTTATTGTGCCCCTTCTGTTGGGTGATTTCTCTCAAGAATGACATCAGGCCCAATCGGCAGCTGGGGCAGCTGGTGTCCAGTATCAAGGAGCTGGAGCCCCATCTGAAAGCTGTTCTACAGATGAACCCAAGGATGCAGAAGTTCCAAGGTAAGGGACCTGTACGCCCTGCCCCCTTCCCACTACAGGACCAGGGAAAGTCACCTGTGCAATCAGCTCTCCATTCCCTATGGGGATCAGCTGATGTCTGGCACCTAAGATTGTTATGCTCCTCAGTGGCAGTGGTTCTCAGCACTGACAACACATAGAATCACTGGGTAATCTTTAACAAAAATACTGGTGTCTATGTCTTGGTGTAGACAGGAGATTCTCAAAATAGTGTGCTCTAATTACCTGGGGTTGTTAGAATGCAGATTTTGAACAGGGAGATTTCAGGATTGCTGATAGTGCTGGCCTGGGGACCACACTTAGAGTAACGAAGACTTAGAGTAACTGAATCTGAATCTCTCTCTGGCTGAGATGCTCAGGAATCTGGAACAAATCCCGCAGATAATTCTACTGTGCAGTGAATATTGACACTCACTGCACTAAATGACCTTACAGCAGGGATGGAAGCGTTTGTTATTGAGCACCTGTGGTGGTTTTTCCCACAGGTGTAGGGTGAGTTGCAGACTTTGGTCTCCTTGTCTGTGCACCACGGGCTTCTACAGTGTCCTTGGCTACAGAAAATACTATCAGACTGTGTAACTCTGGAGATAAGGGACATTTAAATGAAGAGATTATGGTTGGCCTGTGCAAAAAATTGCACCTAGAAACAATGTTGGGTTCCCATGATGTCCCTGACACCACTGGCTTCTACACAGTCTCTTCCCTGATACTCATGACCCTACTCATACAGTGACCGATACCTGACCCTCTGCATGAAATCGGGAGCACAGGTTCTCTCTGTCCTAGTCATCTGTGCAACACTCTTACTCCTGTCTTGTAAGTGGTCACGCATCTTATTTCATCCAGGAATTCACTGTCAGAGATCGATCACCTGATCACCTGACGCCTTATTTCAACCTACAAAACCCACACTGGCGATCACGTGAATTCATCTTTTAACTTCAAGAGTAGTAGGCTCTGTAGATATTTTTTTTCATTTGCTCCAGACAAGTCTTTTCTCTAGGCCAGATGCACCCCTTCCTTCATCACGGTGACTCATTAGAATGGGCAGCTCCACCTTTGAACCACGTACCCAGTGCCTTGAGATGCTCGTTCATGCCGCCCTTATTCTCTGCAGTCAATTATGACCAATAACTTTGAAATACCTTCCTCTCGTCTCTTAAGTTTGAGCCAATCACCATTGTTTATCTTAAAACCTCACCTCACATGTACTATAAAAAATATCCTTTCATCCAGGATGTGCCTATATCCTGTCCATTTGTTAAGCTATTTGTTTTTCTTTTCTCAGTGGAGGTGACCTTGGATGTTGACACGGCCAACAACCGCCTTCTTATTTCCAATGACCTCAGGAGGGTCCGACGTGGGCACATCAGACAGAATCGGCAATTGCTCCCTCAGAGGTTTGACGCTGGAATCTGTGTCCTGGGCTCCCCTCGCTTCTCCTCTGGCCGCCATTACTGGGAGGTGGACGTGGGAAAAAGCACAGCATGGGACCTGGGAGTTTGCAGAGAATCTGTTCCCCGACAAGGACTGATGGAAATGTCTCCAGAGAGTGGATTCTGGACTGTGAGTTTGAGGGGTGGGCACTATTTCTTTGCCAGCACAAAGCCTCCAACTGCTCTCTGTGTGGACCTTAAGTTACAGGTTGT